GTCGTGTGTCGTCGTCGTGTGTGTGTGTGTGTGTGTGTGTGTGTGTGTGTGTGTGTGTGTGTGTGTGTGTGTGTGTGTGTGTGTGTGTGTGTGTGTGTGTGTGTGTGTGTGTGTGTGTGTGTGTGTGTGTGTGTGTGTGTGTGTGTGTGTGTGTGTGTGTGTGTGTGTGTGTGTGTGTGTCTTGCAGGGTCGATGGTTGGGGCTGAATGCTGTCGGAGGAGGGTGAGACAGGGAGGCACAAGTCATAGCTTAGGGACAGATAGACATTGGACAGCGATTGATTAGTTGTCCGGAACTTCGTCTGGTCCATTAACACATAAGTGGTTTAGGGAAGGAGGTTGAGTGCAGTGTATCAGCTGATTCTGTCACTGTCAGTTACACAGCTGACACAATCTGCATGATGTCCCGTTTTAAACGAGCAAACATCTTGGCAAAATCTCGGCAAAATCTCCCGTTTTGGACTTTTTGTGCAAGAAAACTGCCAACTTTAATACAAATTAGGCAAAGGAGTTTTTGATTGATGACCATGCAGCTTTTAAATTATGTAACGTCGATGAAAAGGGGTCCCGTAGTAATTGTATTAACTCAAAGAAGACCATGTAATCATTCACTCTCTGTGAAAACTTGAAAATAACCAAAAATGGAGTAACAAGATTTTCACCTGACATCAATGTTTATTCTTCAAAGGGGATTTGCTATTTCTATCCTCCCAGACTATTTGCTGCTGCCTCATATGTAGCGTATGTGTAGAGAGAGGTTTTTTTTAAAAGAGGAATCAGCTGGGAATTAGATAAGGAAGCTTTGAGACGTGTCTTTTGAGGGGAGCGAATAAAGAAGAACAACTGTGACTCACGCGCTCATGCTGGGAGAACTATTTTCACGACATCTCCCCGTGTCGCCCATCTGAACACAGGGAGAAAACGGCAGTGTGAGAGCATCAGAGGAAAGAGCAATAAAGGGCAGTTAAAGGAATATGACTGCTGGCATTGTGCCCAAAAGCTAGTCTATTCAGAAATTAGCTCAATAGAAAAAGTGGGAAAGCATCTGTCTTTTGATCCTGCAAGGTATCATTGTTTTTATTTGGATAACTTGCTTTAGTATAAATCATTTCCTTTGTTTTAACTGATTTAGGCCAGGGCTACCTAGTTGTAAGAATTAGACTGTCTATTTTGGGTTAAAACAAAGGAGAATTAATATAAATGTATAATGTCTGGCAGAAGCTATTGGTGTTTTCCTGTCCTGTTTCTGGCCTTGCAGTGTTGTTAAGCAGACAGCAGGTTTTTTAAGTTGCTTCAGCTTCAGTACCCCCCTCCCACCCCATTGCAAAGCTTTAGATGAGCTCCACATGTTACCTCTGTCTCATTTCCCAAATCACGGTTGTTTCGGTCAAAGCAGCATT